GATGTATGATGGTTTTGTTCGGACGTTGTATGGTGTTTGACATATCCCAGATTTGAAGAAGAATTTGATTTCTTTGGGAACTTTGCACAATATGGTTTTATCCCTAAGGCTGATGAGAATAGGGAAACCATTCGGATTGTTAAAGCAGATTTGACTGTGATGAAAGGAAACATGACTGCATGGAATATTTATAGATTGTTAGGGAGTACCGCTGTAGGTGGAGTTCATTCTGTTGAGTCCTGTGATGATACTACCAAACTGTGGCATATACGTCTTGCTCATCTTAGTGAACGTGGTATGGTTGAATTATATAAAAGAAATATGTTGCATGGTGTTAAAAGATGTAAGCTCGATTTTTGCAAGTATTGTGTTCTTGGTAAACAGACTAAAGTTTGTTTCAAGAATGGGAAACACACAACTGAAAGGATTCTTGATTATGCGCATTCTGATGCATGAGGGCCTTCCACGACATCGTATTTGGTGGATCTAGATATTATGTTACTTTTATCGACGATTTTTCATGGAAAGTTTGGGTGTATTTTTGAAACAGAAGTCTGACGTTTTTTAGAAGTTCAAGCTGTGGAAAGCTGAGGTAGTAAACCAAACAGGATAAAAAAATCAAGTGTTTGTAGTCTGACAATGGTACAGAGTATATAGATTCACAGTTTCTAAACTTCTGTAAGGAGCATGGGATTAAGAGGCATTTTATAGTGCGCAAGACACCATAATAGAATGTTGTTGCGGAACGAATAAATAGGTCGTTGAATGAAAGAGCCAGATGTTTGATGTTGAATGCAGGGCTTCCCAAACACTTTTGGGCTGAGGCTGTTAACATGGCGTGTTATCTTATCAATAGATCGCTAAGGGCATCATTGGCTGGGAAAGTTACAGAAGAGGTATGGACTGGTCATGATGTTACTTTTGATCATTTTACGAATTTTTTGTTGTCATGCTTATTTGCATGTACCTGCTGATGAGATATCCAAACTTGATGCAAAATCGAAGGAGTGCATTTTTCTGGGTTACAAGAAAGGTGTCAAAGGATTCAAGTTCTGGGATCTAGTTGCGAAGAAAATTGTGATCAGTAGAGATGTTTTTGATGAACAACCTATGTTGCAGCAGAAGAAAGACATGACAGTGGTGAATTTCGAGTAATTTCCAGTTGAGAAAACATAAACTTCTCAACCGACTTCTGGTGGTTCCGCTATGGATGATTTGCAGGATTATAGTCTTGCCAGAGACAGGGTGAGACGGACGAATATAAAGTCTCCGAACATATTAGGTTTTGAAGACTTGGTCTCTTTTGCACTTACTGTTAGCAGTGATGATCTGATTACTTTTCATGATGTTGTTACTAATCAGGAAAAAAAGACAAGTGGATGTCTGCCATGGTTAAAGAGATGGAGTCTTTGAATCACAATCGCACATGGGAGTTAGTTCACCTTCCTGAGGGTAAGAAGCCTATTGGTTGCAAATAGGTGTATAAGAAGAAACCAACAGTAACATAAAAAGAGAGGGAGAAGTTCAAGGCTCGTTTGGTAGCAAAGGGTTTTTCACAAAAGAAAGGAGTTGATTATGATGATTTTTTTTCTCCTGTGGTTAGGCACACTTTAATCTGAGCAGTATTTGCATTGGTGGCTAGAGCAGATGGATGTTAAAACTGCTTTTTTTGCATGGTGATTTAGAGTAGCAGTTCTACATGCAGCAGCCTGAAGGTTTCACTCAACCTGGAAACGAGCATTTAGTTTGCAGATTGAAGAAATCTTTGTACGGGTTGAAACAGTCTCCAAGACAATGGTACAAACGGTTTGACTCTTATATGATCAAGATTGACTACAAGTGATGCGAGTATGATTGTTGTGTCTATATTTAGAGCCTTGATGATGGTTTTTTTATTTTTCTAATATTGTATGTTGATGATATGTTAATTGTTGCGAAAAACATGGATGATGCTATCGGTTTAAAAACTTTATTGAGTTAGGAATTTGATATGAAAGATTTAGGTACTGCAAAGAAAATTCTTGGAATGAAAATTTGCAGGGACAGAGAATCAAGGAAACTGTGGCTATCTCAACGGGGTTATGTTGAGAAAATGCTAGAAAGGTTTACGATGAGCAGATTAAAACCACTCAGCACTCCATTGGTGAATCACTTTAAGATCTCATCAGAACAATGCCCTAAGTACATGTATGAAATGGTATGTACTCGTCCTGATTTAGCTCATGCTGTTAGTTAAGTTTGTAAGTACATGTCTAAATCTGGTAAGCAACATTGGGAAGCAGTCAAGTGGATTTTTAGGTACTTAAAGGGTACTGTGGGTCATGGAATTGTTTTTGGTAGTCAGCGGGATAATCCTTTGGTTGTAAGATATGTGGATTCAGACTATGCAGATGACTTGGATAATAGAAGATCTACGATAGGGTATGTCTTTACTCTTAGTGGAGGGCCTATTTGTTGGAAGTCTACTGTTCAATCTGTTGTGGCATTATCTATGACTAAAGCTAAATACATGACAGCAGCTGAAGTTGCAAAAAAGCTTTATGGCTTACTGGTTTAGTGAAGGAGTTGGGTGTTCAGCAAGGTGGAGTTCAGTTGCTTTGTGACAATCATACTATTCACTTGGCTAAGAATCATGTATATCATGTTAGAACTAAGCATATTTATGTAAGGTTTCACAAGATCAGAGAATTGGTTGCATCTGGAGAGATTTTGTTTCAGAAGGTACATACTGATGAGAACGCCACTGATATGTTCATCAAGCCAGTTACGACAGACAAGTTCATGCATTGCTTGAACTTGTTGAATGTTTTGAGTTGTTAAAGAAGTAAGGTAACCCAATCAACATTGAATGTTTCCTAAAGGGCAGGATATTCGCCAAGGTGGAGATTTATTAGGTATGGCTCATAAATATATCAGTAAATAGAGAAAGTCTCGTAGTGGGGGTTACGATTATATGGGTTGGGGGTGCGGGGGCGCAGCCTGCGGTACGGTACAGGGTTATTTTTGTAAATATGTACCAGGGTTTATTTATTATAAAAGGAGATGTAACCTAAACCTATGAGACATTGAATAAAAATTTCTAGCGTTGCCTAGGGCACCGAGGATGTAAGCACATTGCTCAACCTCGTTAAAATTCTTGTGTTCTTTCCGTTTTCTTTACCTGATTATTTAACAACCAACACAAGGTAAGGTGATCTTTATATTCAAAACATCTACCTTAATGTCTTTACAGGATTATATAAGGATCTCCGCCCAAATAAGAGGGAAAGAGAGAGGGGAAGATTCTAAATGGAAGTTATAGACACATTTTCGTCCGACATTATTTTAATTTTTTATATCATATAATATATAGTTTTTTCAAAAAAAAAATAATATATGGTTTTTGAAAATATATAATATAATTTTTAAAATCATATGGCATAGTTTTTGAAAACATATTATATAGTTTTAAAACAAACATATAATATATAGTTTTTGAAAATATATAGTATAGTTTTAAAAACATATGGTTTTGAAAATATATAGCATAATTTAAAAAAACATATTATTATATTTTAAAAACATATAATTTTTGAAAAAATACGTAATATATATACTTGAAAACATATTATATGATTTTAAAAATATAATATATTATATAATTTTTAGAATATATATATATATATTAAGCTTATTATTATTATTTATTTATTTTCTTCTTATCTTTCTTCATTTTTAGGTTAAAATGGTTCAATAAAAGTCCAAATCTGGGTCCAAAGAGTCCAAAAAGAAAAGCCAAAGGTAAGATCCAAATTCGGTCCAACCGAATCAGTAGGCCAACCCGGTGGGAAGTCCAAATCTGGTTTCAACCCTAGACCAACGCCACAAAGGAGTGACAGCTGTTGGATCTGGTCAAAGTGATCCAATGGCGGATAGAGAAAACTGAAAGGCACCCACGTACTGAACAACAACCACACACTGACGAAGCATCCAAAGCCGAGAAAAGCGCCGAAAAATTGGCCATAACCGAGTTTCTCGACAAAATCAAGACTGCTCCTTCCTGTTTTAATCGGTAACAACCACAACTGGCAGGGTTATAAAAACCCCGAGAATCATTGAAACAAAATAGGAAGAAATCGAAGACCATAACAACGAACAACAACAAAAAAGGTGATATCTACCAGAGAAAACAAAGCTAGCACAAAAATAACCAAGCAGGGCAAGTAAAAATCCATCGAAGCAACCTAAATTACACATTCAAAATACCCTTCGAGAATCAAGAAAAAGCATCGGTCGAGTTACGCAAGAGCCTTGTCGGGAAAAGAAAGGTCGATGGAACTCAAGAGATGCCAATTTTAAAGGTAAATATCAAAACCTAAAAGTGTAGATCTATGCCGTTTAGGGGTGATGTTGAGCGATTGGGGTTTGGGTTCAGCTTTATCTTTGGGGTGTTGAGGATTTTCCAGCCACCGAAGGCGGTGCCCATAGTGGCGGGGTAGCGACAGTTGTCTATGCGGGAGCGGTGGCTGGCCATTGGTTGGTTGGGGTGAGTTGAGAGCATTTTTGAGAGAGAGGGGGGGAGATTATTTTTAGAAATGGGATGGAATGAATTATTTTTAGAGAGAGGGATGGCCTTTATGAAATACTAAAATTTTAAATTATTTCTGTTGTCCCTGATATTTTGATGCGTAATTCATTTCGGTCACCTGTTATAAATTGGTCATTAAATTTTAAATTAATTCAATTTAATCATTGTTATATTTTTGTATCTTTGCAATTTAACCTCTTAATTTTTGTTTTCTTTCCTTGCAACATTCAATTACTACTAGTTTAATCCTTGGTTTTAATTTTTTTGTAATTTAATCTTTTAAATTTAAATTTTCCTTTTATTCTTTCATTTATTTATTTATTTATATATATTTTTATTTTATTATTTAACATTCATTTGGCTTTGTTTTTTAGGACCATCTTTATTGATCAAAGGTAAGTAATTCAGATAAAATTTTAAATTTTAATTTAACTTGTAATTTTTTCAATTAAGACAACCGAAAAATTAAATTGGTACTGAAAGGGCAGTACAAGGGTGCTAATCTGTCCTTGACTGTAATTGACTCCCGAATCTGATTAATTTATGGAAAAGCACAAATCAGACAAATGGGTAAGTCAAGGTATCTGGTCAACCTAATTTTAAATGATCAGTGGTGGCTCCAACACATCAAAATTTAGTTGAAACTCGATTCCGATACCACCCGAAGGACGGTTACGACAGCTTGGCGACTTCTCTGGGGATGGTAAGTAAGTCAGGAAAAATTAATTTTTGGTTGTCTTCTTAAGAGAAAATTATAAGTTTAAATTCTAATTTATCCTTTCGACCCTTGTTATTTACTTTTGATTTTGATTTTTCGAATAAATAGTTGCAATGATGTTTTTTCAATGATTTCAACTTTTTTTCAAAATTCAATCTCAGGCTATATTCCCGAGCTCCAAACCCTTTTTAAGTGGAGTTGAAAACGACTTCTTCGTGGGAATTTATTCTCTGTATAAGCCTAGCAAGTAACCTTCGAGATTTATATACCTTATGTCTTCGTGTGAATTTATTCTCCGTACAGACATTAGGGAATGTATCCTCTCGAGTTTAACTTGGTTCACATGAGCTTGTAATAGGCTTAGGACTGACGGTCTGGCAGTCCCAAGGGGGCACTAGCAAGGAGAACTCAGATACTTTTTTAGAACCAAACTGTGACGCTGCAAGGAATTAGAGCCCACCCCAAAACTCCATTTCGAAACATAGGATGCTTGATTTATTTCCTGCTTTATTTTCTATTCAAAGCATGTGAATTATAAGTTTATACGGTTAGGATTTGTTCAAGAAAATAACATGCGAGGTAGAGATCATGGCGGGGTAAAAATAAAAACATGTTGAGTAGGGATTTTTATTTTATTTTCATTATTATTTTGATTTCTTTTTTTATTTTACTAACTTATTTCCTTTTATTTTTGTTTTATTTCCATCTTTTATCATTTGCATCATTTAAAGAGGTGTTGATCTACAAAAGCGTTTGTTTAAAACCGAATAGTTAGTATTAATGGACAAAGGGGTTATAATGCAAGAGGTAAAGAATGCAGAAGTACGACTATGGTCAGAAAGGACTCAGAAGGAAAAAAGGAGACAATATGCTAGATAACTATGTGTCAGACCTTGCTGGCTACACTTCCATCAGCCTCAAACAAAATGATACCCAAGAATTGCAGAATATTTGGGACAGTTGGAAAGCTGACAGGAAATAGAGGTTTTGCCAGCGATGGTGAAACTATTTGAATAACTTCCTAAAAGAGTAAATTCTGTTCCAATAATTTTAGCTGAGACCTTCCGTTCACTGAGTCATTGCAGAAAGACTGGTAGAGGGCGTTTTATAGGGTACACACAATTACTTCAGGTTTAGATCCACAGTTATTTCTGGAAAACATATGAGATTTCTTACAACCGATTTAGTACCACTTCCTCTTCTTTGGAGGAATTCCTTACACAAAAATGGCGAGAAGGTATTCCAAAGGAGAAATAGGTAAAGGTAATCACTCACATCTAGGATAAGGACATCGTATGGAGAGCCCATTTGTTAACTCATAGTGACATTCTTTACCGGTGTGGAGACTCAAGAATAGTAATGTTGCATGGGCTATGGGGAGGAGTTGGCTATTCTCCACTTTTAATGCTTCCACAGTTTGGGGCACATCAGTTTGTTCCAATCACACATGAGATATTCAGATCTGAGTTTTCATACCATGAGGACAACTACAAGAAGAAGGTCAAAGATGTAGCTGAGTCATGGAAGAAGATATTCTGTACGAAGGTTGTGGATGCAAAAGATATGATCACTCCAGACTATGTAGAATGGTGGAAGTTGAGGAAGAATGATACCATTCCCACACTAGAGCATGAGGACTCTCGGACCATTGAAAAACACCGTAAGCCAGTCCTCTCTATACTAGAGATAGCAAATAAGGAATTTGAAACTGAAAAAGAACTGGAACAAAGATTGAGAGAGTTAGAAGATGAAAAATTCCAATCAAAGCTAGATGATGATACTTAAAAGAATCGAGCAGACATACTGGAAAAGAAACAGAAGAAAGTCTGATTTGAATTGGAGGATTTAAGAAAAGGATATTGTATTGCCCCAAATATTTAATTAAGGAATTTATTGAAAGGATTTAAAATTTGAGAATCTATTTGATTAATTGATAAAAGATGAGAATGATTTGGAATAGTAGTTTAGACTAAATTTTAGTAATGAAGGGTTAAAAGGGCATTTTGGTCATTTGGAATAAAATGAATTTAAAATTCATTCTTTATAGTATATTAAAGTAAAGAAATAAGGGGAAAATGGATTAGCAAGGTTAACTCTTTTGTTCTTCTTCTTTCCCCGTGGATAGCTCTCATCCATAGCTCAAAGGTGAGTTTTTAAAATTACTAGTTTAACTTTTCGTTTTTGGTTGGTTATTGAAGCCTTGTATATGATAGAAACTTAATAAAGGATTAGATGGGATTAAAACGATGAGATAAGGGAAATAATGGAGATTATAGAAAATGAGTTTTGAAATGATATGTTAATATATGAGTGTTTATTGATGTTTATTGGTAGAATTGACTTGTTAAAGAGGTAAATAAGAGATTATAAGCATTGGATGGGAATAAGAACATGTTAAAAAAAGGGGTGTGATTTTTAGATTTACATGTTCTTGGAAGAAGTTAGATATTATAAGTAGGTAATTGAAGAAAAATTAGTGGGATTAAGTAAAGAAGAGTTTGGTAGTATTGTGGGAGGTAAATATAACGAAATTTGACCCCATTTGTATAATAATCGGGTTGAAAACTAAAAAATCTGGGCACGGGTATCGGTACTGATAGAACAATACCGATACTATAGGTTAAAATGGGATAAATCAGCTGAGTAGTATCGATACTAATTCAATCAGTATCGATATCGAAGGGGGGAGTATCGATACCAAAGGGAAGGTATCGATACCATTCAAAACAGAATGTAAAAATGGTATCGATACCATAATTGGGTATCAGTACCATAGTATGGTAGTATCGATACCATGGTAGGGGTATCGATACTGAGCAGCCAGAAATTGTAAGATAGATTGTTATTGTTATAGAAAAGTTAATAATAGGCACTTTTGAGTAATGTTTAAGTATAATTGTTAGGAAATATACTAACAATTTATATTATACAAGTATTTAATGGATATGGAATAGATCGAAATCAAGCTCCTGAGTCAAGCGAAGCAAAAGGCCAAGGCCAAGTTCCGGAGTAATCAGCTTTACATTTTGGATGCCAAAGCGAGGCAAGCCAGGTGAGTGCATTTAATTATGTACGTATATGTTATGGTAGTCATAGTTGTATGATTTATAGATGTATGTATGGTGATTACCAAATGACACTAAGTGTGTAAAAACTTAAGAAATTCATACTAAGTGGATGAATTTCCGTATGGGCATTATATATGTAAACTTAAGAAATTCATACTAAGTGGATGAATTTCCGTATAGGCACTATATGTGTAAACTTAAGAAATTCATACTAAGTGGATGGATTTCTGTATGGGCATTTTATGTGTAAAATTAAGAAATTCATACTAAGTGGATAATTTCCGTATGGGCACTATATGTGTAAAAATTAAGAAATTCATACTAAGTGGATGAATTTCCGTATGGGCACTTTATGTGTAAAATTAAGAAATTCATACTAAGTGGATGAATTTCTGTATGAGCACTATATGTGTAAACCTAAGGAATTCATACTAAGTGGTTGAATTTCCGTATGGGCACTTTATGTGTAAATTTAAGAAATTCATACTAAGTGGATGAATTTCTATATGGGCACTATATGGGTAAAAAACTACGAAATTCATACTAAGTATATAAATTTCCATATTGGTAGTGGGTGTAAAATCCATGACATTAGAGTAATGGTCAATAAATGATTGTATTAGTTACAGAAGTAAATTATCGAATGTTTGATGAATTGAAAGAAGTAATGGATATTGGAATTTTCATAATATACTTGTACATTGAATTTTGCTTATGATTATTATGCCTCACTAGGAAATTTCTTAGCGTGTGTTAATTTCACGCGTAGGTTTTTCTTCCAGTGGAGTACGAAGAATATCGACCAACGAATCAAGGGTCACCTCTTCAGTAATAGTATGACACATGTCTACTTTTTGATGTAATTAGTTGGCATGTAATTGACTTAGTCAAAACACTCTGAAAAGTATTTGGTTTACCTAGATGTAAAATGATGAAATGTTTGGATATTACTTTTTATTTATTTATTTAAGTTTAATGAATATTTTATTATTGCTAAATTTGAAATTATTTTATAAAAAGAAACAAAATTTTCTGTGTTTTCAAATGGGAAAATGTTTAAAAAGAGATGTGACATTTGTATCTCATATGCGGTAAGGTATACGAGAGATAGGTGTTACATTTATTGGTATCAGAGCTATATGTTTAGTCGATTCTCGACCGAAATTGAGTGTATTTGATGTAAAAAAAAGGGTACATGCCACTATTATATCAAGTTACTGATAAGGTATAGAAAGAATATGATAGATGTCTCTCCTTACTAACTTAAGTACTATCCTTATGTATGTTATACCAGATGTCAGATTCCATGAATTCAAGAAGAGCGACTGGATGAGAAAGTAGAGATGAAATGGATAGTGAAAGTTATTAAGAAAATAGAGAACACCCAATTTCTTCTGAGAACACCAGCGCACCGGCACCTCATGGTATGCCAGTACCGGAGTTTAGAGCTTTCATGCAAGCTCTTGATGCTATTTTGATAAGATTTCAACCTCCTCCGCCTCCCCCTATTCCCCCAGTACTGCGAATGTTAATTCCTAATGAGTTAAGAAGTTTGGGAGCTCATGAGTTTAGGGGAGATGAATATGAAGGTCCTATGGATGTGGATTTATGGTTGAATGATGTTATGATGATGTTGAAAAGTTTACAGTGCTCTGATA